AAAAAAGAATTTATTTTTAATTTTTTATTTAATTTTTTTATATTATTATTTTTCCATGTCATCACTTTTTTGTCTATTGTCCCCCATGTGTATTAATATTTGACATGTCATCTTGTAACAATGAACTAACAAGCCTCGTCATCAAAATTTGAACAGAAGGACCAAATTGGGGTAAAAATGGTAAACAAAAGGGACCAAATCAGGGATTTTTTAAATTTAAGGACCAAATCAAGGGTCCATACAATAGCTCAGGGATCAAAATAGGGTTTTAACCAAAAAAAAAAAAAAGAGAGTGATTGATTAAGGAACGTAACCCTTGTTCTCCAGAGCCGCCGACCACCTCCTTCCGTTGAAGCACGGGTTCCTCTCCTTTAGCTAAAAATCTGTGTCAATCGGTAAGATTTCATACATTCATCGGTCAAATTCCTCTCTTTACGTTCCCTAACTAAGCATCTAGCAAGACAGCCTTGCTAATCAAATTCTTCTTCCGGATCTATTTGGGTTTTGCAGCCCTCTTCCTTCTTTAATTGACTACATTGACGTTCTTCAATTGCTGGGTTACCTGCAAAAGAACGGTAAGATTAGCACTTTAGACTTGGCCTAAATCTATTGTAGACTGCTCAAAAACATTTTTTAATAATAATAATAATAATAATAATAATAATAATAATAATAATAATAACACTCATATCCTTTGATTTAAATTGCTGTAAATTATGCTTTGGTCTTGGCTTGGGTTTAGCAGGCGATAATCTGTTCTTTTACACTTTTGAGCATAGATGGAATTAGGTATAATTGATTAGCTTATATTGATTTTTTGGAAGGGAGTCGGCTGGAACCTTGAATCTTTAAGTTAAATAAATGTATATAAAATCTCCTTGATTGCCAAATGTTTTGGTTAAGGGCGGTCATACTCTGCACTTAAGTTGCTGCCATTTTATTTTATTTAGATAGTTAAATTTCTGGTATGTGATAAGCCTTGATTGGGAAGCATGTGTTTGGATTAGAAGGAGGCCAATTCTGTGAGTCTAATTAGAATTTGAGTGCGGATTACTGCAAGTTTATGATTAACTATGCTGTTGGAAGTAAACATTCGGCTGAGTTAATACAATTAAGAGGGAAAGATGTTATTCAAGGGCCATGGGATAGGAGTAGAGTAAGAGGGGTGTCTTGGTGATTTAAATATGGCTAAGCGACGTAAGATATAGTTTGGATCTTGGGTTGTATTGGGGTGATTAATAGTCATGAATTTTTAGATGAATTTTTATGTTATAATAGGTGAATCTGTTCCCATTTGTTTAGGTTCTTGAGCATTTTGTCCTCTTAGTTCTTGGTTCTTGCATAGTTCCTGTTCATCTATGACATGAGGTAAGTGAATTTATAATTGGTTTTAAATTGAGGTTTTAAAGGCATATTTTGAACTATTTTGAGGTGGTGGTGAGACTTAAACTGATTTATAATGATATGAGCATGATATGTTTTGATATAAGGTTTTTATATCTGTACTTTACTAAAGGATTGAGCATGCCGTTTTCATATGATGCCTGCTGAAATATATGGATTGTGAGATCATGAATTATGCCTGTTTTAAGTATCTTGTTTATTTTCCCACATTGTTTTGTCTCCGATATGGTCATGATTCTTGATGCCCACCAGTGGAAGTTTTGTAAACACTGGTACATGTCGACATGTATGGTTGTATCAGAATTAGAGTCCCCAAAGTTGAAAACTACAGGATAATTGAGATAAACTAGCTTGGTTTTCAGTTTAAAAACTAGCTTAGTTTTCAGTTGATTATTCCTCATTCAGTTATGCTTTTACAGTTTAATCTACAGCTATTCTTGTATTTATTTCCTTATTTTTGTATCTTCTTCCAGGTCTTGTCTGTATGATACTTTGATAAAAACTAGAAACAGGAACATCACAATTGTAGGAAGATGTAATGATTAGGGATAACTTAAAAATTAGCACTAAATTGAATATTTGTCTTGGGCTTAGGGCCATTAATCAAGAAGCAGGCTAAAGCTTGGACTTTGTTCAAGAGATTATTCTGTTCTTAGTTACTTTTTTAATGTTTGAAATTTGGTTTTATAGTTATGGAAATATTTCATTATGCACAAAACTTGAATGGCTTCTAGATGCTCTGTGAATTTAGGGGAAACATATTTTGCAAAAACTGTTTGATTTAATAAGTCCTGTGTTAGGAGGTTAATATTTTACAAAAACTGTGATGAAGCTGTGTTCTCCTTCCAGCTAATGTTTTGATTCTTTGGTTAACTTAATGCAGCCTAGCTTGGCCCAAGTGACTCTTTCATTCAATACTACATGAAACGGAATTGTAGCAGCCAAGCACTTCACTATGCTTAAAGTAAGTCATTGTTTTCCCTTTTAATAAAGGCCAAGTATATGCTGCTATTTACACTTAACTATATCTACCCAGTTTGCTTTCTTGTTTTTGTTAGGAACATTAATGGGAAGAAAGTCACAATTGTGAAATGTAATATTGTATTCTGTGATCATTTCAAAATTTCACCTCCCCCACTAAGCTAAAGTTCTGGCTCCACCACTGGGCACTTAATAGTCTACTTAATAGTCTGATTGTTTTAATGTAAACCCTTTCTATTTGGTTGCTGAGAAAAATGAGTGATCACTCAATAGACATTTCTTGTAACACCTTATATACGTTAATGAATAAATTAGAAATTAAAGACTTTTATTTTAACATTTTAGGGACTAAATTGATTAGATTTAAAATATGTGGGCCTTATGTGTAATTTTGAGATAGTTAGAGACTATCTAGCTAAATTAACCCAATTTTAGAGACATGGGGCAATTAAACACCATTTCACCGAGGGTCTTCTGGAAGACTTTCGAAAAGGGAAATCCTTTTTTTTGGTTAAACACCCAAAAGCCCTTTTTGCCTTCAAAGTTTCGACTGCCCATTTTCCTTTGCTCTTTTGAACTTCCACCAAGGGGGGGGGGAGAGTTTTAAAGACTGCAGCAGGGAAACGGATTGTTTAACAATCTTCTTCTTCGACTTCTGCTGTTAATTTCTATTGTCCGCTTCAGTTTGGTGTTTTGATTTCCAAAGGTAAGTATGAGTTTTTGTTATAAATTTGGGTTAGAGTTGGGTAGATTACAGATTTATCATAATATACTAGAAATTAGTCTAAATTAGGAGCTTTGACCCCAGATCTGTAGTTTGGGGGATTTTTGGGCAGTAAAAATTGTGTTAGAAATATAAGATATTGTGGGGCTTGCACGGGAATAACTTCATGATTGGTTTAATTTTCATACTTGAGTTTATTGTCAATTTAATTGATAAATACTGTTGTGGACTCCATGTGCTTGCTTGGTGTGGTAGTTTTCTTACGATTTAACAGGGCAAATTAATTCCATATGCTTAATTGGAAGTTGCAGTTACTGTTCACGGGTAGTTACTGTTCATGCACTGAATTTCAATTTTTTGGAGTAGAATATCTTGTGGAATACGTGAGTTATGCATGTGGATATAAATGTGAATTTTCTTAAAGAATGCCGTTGAAATATTGAACGAAATAATATTTTGATATTATTTTGGGAAGTGTTTTAGTTTTGTTTGGCATTTGTATGTGTTTTCGATGTGAAGGCGGATTAATGTATTACCAAAACGATAATGTTGCTTTTATTATTGTAGAAAGTATTTTGAAAAGCAACTGCTTTCACGTATTTTTTTTGTATAAGTTACTTTTATATATATGACATTAAAATTAATTTAAATGGGCATATTCTGGCTTATTTTATGACTTTGAGTATTTCGACATTTTTCTTAAGACATTTTTATTTTATATAGTTTTTTGTTACATACGAATGGTTTCCTTTTATAAAACTTTAAATTGTTTTGAAAGCGGATTTTCTTTAAAGTGGATGTCACATTTCTACCCACATAATTGCATCTATTTTGTAGATTAATAGTGGTTTTAAGAGTTATTAAATATCAATAAGCTTTTAATTTTAGTTTATTGTTTTGGAAATTATAACTGCTGTATTGATCAATTGATAGCCATAATGTTGGATGGATTTGTGTTGCATTTTATCATAGGAGTAATATAGTATTAAATGTTTGTATGCGTTAAATAAGCTGTCCATTAGCTTGTAATTCTGAAAAGTGTTTTTGTTGTCTGTTAGAAGTTCTGGAATTCATCTTTCTTCTATGGTTCTGATTGTTTAGCTTCATGTTACATGTAGAACCCTAATTTTACAATGATAAGAAGAAGACTCCTTCCACTGCTCTCAACATCTCCATTCCTCCTCAACACCAAACCCATTTCCAACCCCTCACCACCCCTCCAATTCCGCTTCCTCCCTTTCCTCCGTAGTTCCAGTGGCAATAACAACAATGGGTCATTGTGGCTTCAAGGTATTAGAGGTTACAGTCTTTTGAGCTTGAACGATTTGAGAGATAACGTTCCAAGAAAGCAGAAGACGAGGAAGGGTCGAGGCATTGGGTCCGGCAAGGGGAAGACTGCTGGGAGAGGTCATAAAGGACAGAGGGCAAGAAAAGGTGTTAGGTTGGGGTTTGAAGGTGGGCAGACCCCAATGCGCCGCCGTTTGCCTAAGCGTGGGTTCAAGAATCCGTTCAGTCTCACTTTTCAGGTACCCTTGAGTTTCTAAGTGAAATTATGAAGAATGTTGTTTAGGGTATTTTTTGCTTTCTTCCTGAAAACAAGATTGGCTCAAGCTAGTCTCTGGGTTTCTAAGTGAAATTAAACTGACTGTATATTTTCTTTCTAACAGCCAGTTGGGTTGGGCAAAATTGCCAAACTTATAAACGCTGGAAAGATAGACTCCCATGAATTGATCACAATGAAAACTCTCAAGGTACAGTAGCTTTTAGCCTTTACTGTCAGTACAACCCATATTTGAATCATTCCATTCATTGTCTGGAGTTCACACTGTTGCTGTTACAATAGGATGTTGGGGCTATAGGGAAACAGATAAAAGATGGAGTAAGGTTGATGGGACGTGGTGCTGACCAGATCAAGTGGCCAATTCATCTGGAGGTAAATCAGGCTTTAGAAAAGTTGATGATAAAGCTGTATTGAATTCACCTATTAGATTGAATTATATTTATGCTTCATTCATCCTTTGACTATTTGAGACTTATTTTTTCCATTGGAAAATTCATATAGAAGCATGAATCTTTTTTTTTTTTGGGTACTAATCCCTCAATATCCGGAAGCCACATTGGGCCCAGACTAATTTGGAGTTGAGCCGGCTTAGACCCCATAAGGGGGAAGCTCTTCTAAGGCCTATTTCTCCCTCAGTATCTCAAATAGTCACCCTTGACTATTTGGGACTTATTTTTTCCATTGGAAAATTCATATAGAAGCATGCATCATTTTTTTTTGGATACTAATCGCTCAGTATTCGGAAGCCACATTGGGCCCAAATTAATTTGGAGTTGAGCTAGCTTAGACCCCATAAGGGGGGAAGCTCTTCTAATACTTATTTCTCTATTTGCAAAACTTAAACGTGAGACCTTATTCAAAGAGAAAGAGAATTGAGTTCTTTCTACTTAGACCAATAATAGGTTGTTGGTTAAAAGCATGCATCATAGTTCAATTTGTTTTTGTTTGATTATTTCAAGTTCAGAAATAATAATTTCATATGCTATGCTTGAAGTCATTACTGCACTCTTAATTTTGCATCTAGACATAAAGATGGTGATCTGATTGGTGAATGTTGCAGGTCTCAAGGGTGACAGTTAGAGCAAAGGAAATTGTTGAGGCTGCAGGCGGGTCTGTCAGAAGAGTGTATTACAACAAGTTAGGCATGCGGGCATTGCTCAAGCCTGAGTGGTTTGCAAAGAAGGGAAGGTTACTGCCAAGAGCAGCTAGACCTCCTCCCAAACTGAAGGATAAAGTTGATAGCATCGGCCACCTTCCTGCTCCAACCAAACCTATTCCATTCTTCACTGATGAAGCAGCAGCCTCTAATGTAGCAGCGTGAAAACCAAACGAGCACTTCGTCAGTTTCACCCCCAGAGGTTTTATATTTATAGTGGAAATTGGAATACTACCATGAGCAAATTTTGCCTCCTGAAAGACCCATGTAGAATTTCGTTTTTTAGCATTTCGTTAATTCCACAAAACTAATTCACGATGATAGAACAAATGCTTTTGTTGCTTCTTGAGCTTCTCCTTGTTGGTTCTTTTTGATCAGTTGTTAACTACTTACTAGAGAAGGTGGTACAACTGATTGGGATATCTTTATCGTGTGTGGCTCATCGTGGGAAAGTACTGAGATAGGCAGACCCAAAATTAAATTTTGCGGGAAAGACTTGATCATTGGTTTAATGCCCACGCAAAACTTCAATACAAACCCATTAGTTTCGTACTCTGGCTTTCACCAGTACATGCACAAGATTTTTGAAAATCACCAGTAAATGCTACTTGGTCACTATGAAAGTGATTGGTCATGAGAGTTCTATTGCAGTTTGCAGAAAACTTAGATGAAACGTTGATTTAGAACACGTAGATGTCATTTTATCATCCAGACAGTTTTAATCTTGAATGTCTCCTACAAACCGATAATGTCTTAAAACAAGATGTCCTTTTAGGCAACCATTTTACTAAAAAGCTTCTCATAATCCAGATGTTTGTTTTTGTCTTTGAGATTGTTCCAGCCATGACTAGTGACACTCTTCTGCAACGGAGGAATGCAGGGTTGGTGTTGAAAATACATGTGTATGTGTCTGATTGTTACACTGAGACCAAAATATAAATCAGCATCTGCGGAAATTTAATGATAACAGGTTAGATAGAAAAAGGTAGTGAAATGATTTTCCCAGGAAATGAAACAAAGAGCAAAATTCTAAATGATTGAAAGCTGTATCCCTGTTCAGCAAGTAGTTTGCACATCCTAAGAAAATCCTGACAACAACCATTTCAACAAATTCAAGGCATATATGCACTGCCTGCCTGATTCCCAACCTCCTGCAAGTGTTTCTCCGCACTCTCAAATGAGAAAGATCAAATCAAATAAAATTTCCAAATCATCATACCATTAAGCATTTTTCAATTCCCACACTACATTAACGGGCATTAGTAGGTTAGAAAAATTAACAATTTCAAAAAATTGGAAGCAGACAAAGATGTAACATTGCTCAGAAGCGCTACAAGAGAAGATTAATTAGCAATAGATCTGTCACAAATTTGTAGTAATAACATAGATCAAACAACTATGAGGAACTAGTCCCAAAAGCATGTTGGATCAACGAAATGACTAAACTACAAATAGAAGGCTTGGGAAGAAAAAAAAAAGGGAAGAAAACTTGAAAATGTATATTATGGTGTTTTACCGCTCTAACAATTTTCATTTATATGGTACTGCTAAGAAGATAGACAAAGAATACAGAGCACTACCTTCTCCCTTCTCCCTTTACTGTATCTGATTTTGAGGCTGAGAAAAGAAATCTTTGGCATTCCGTGCTACCTCTGCCTCGAGTACTGCTTCCAACACAATATCTGAACCCTTTAAACTCTCTGCTAGTGCATACATTAGACAGTTACAATAGCACATGTTACTTAAACTGCCAAGGTAAAATTCATCAGATTAATTTTAGAATGGGCAGCGCTGTTGTGCATCTCATATACTCTCTTTGTTCCAAAAATAACTGTTGTTTTTAGACTCAAAATTAGTCCAAAATTAATTGTTGTTTTTTTCATTTTTTTTAAGGTAGACAAATATTTTTTTTTCTTACTTTGACCTTATTGTTATAACTTAACTTTAATTATCAACCTTATCACCAAAATTTTCTTTATCTTTATTTTTTCTCAAGGGTAATATAAGTAAACATATAAATTGTCTACAAATTCTTAATTTGTGAAAAAAGTGAAAAAAAATGACAGTTATTTTAGGATAGAGAGGGAATCTCTGATAAAAATGAAGTGAATGTTAGTTGGTGCACGTTATGGCAAAAGGTTAGTGGAAGTAATTAAAAGAAACTGGAATCTAGTTGCAATGCTATATTTTTCCTAGTATGAATCCCAGACGTGATAATTAATTTATGCAACAAGAGAATCTGAGTTGGACCAAAAATACTTGTTTAGTGTTTATATTGATGGAAAATGAACATCTTACCAAACCAAATATAAATGGGCAATGCAGTAAGCCAAAAAACCAGTGGTTTTATTGGGCTCAAAAGGTCCCATTAAAAGGTGTTAACATATGGCAGTTTAAATCTCCTACCCTGTGTAAACATGACAAGGTCCAATTGTTGGTCAAAGAGTTCAACTGGGTTCAGACTGGTGTTGGGAGGCAATCCTCCACTTTTGATGATTGGTGAATAAAATCTGGTGTGAAGCTAGGTAAGGAAGTCTGTACAGAAGCAAGGGACAGATTAAACAGAAAGGTAACGGAAAAGCAACAATTGTGGCAAGCATGGTTGCAGTCAAAGGATTGATAGTGGGCAGATGAAAGGAGTAGCTTTTTCATTAGATGCCCAACGGACTGCAGATGGCAGGTGCATTCTTGATAGTTTTACTCAGAAAACTTGTGGCTCAGATTAGAAGTTATAGATTGCAACAGGCACCTAACAAGATCAAATTTCCAGAACTTGTGGTTCAGTGGTTCCCAACCATGTCAAGCACATCTAGCATTGCTGGTTACCACGAACGGTTGGGAACTAAACATAGTAGAGTTGAATAGAACATCAGAAATGTGCCTATGCATGCCTTTTTTCTATAGATGGTGTTGAGAAATAGGCTCAAAACAAAAAGTTTCACAGTGCTAGAGAAATTCAGACTGATAACAGACGTGTGTTTTGTAGTGGGATTGAGGAGACTTGCAGTCATTTGTTCTTTGATTGTACCTTTACAAAGCTAGTTTGGAGGAAAGTAGAACTAAAGAATTCCATAACATTGGAATAGAGAATGGAGATGGATCCAATTGGTTTGTAAGGGGAGAAGGAAGCTGTAGTCTGTAAAAGGTTGCTCTTGCAATGAAAGTATAAACCTTGCAGCAGGAAAGGAATTTTGGATTTTTCAAAAAGTTAACAGAGATGAGAACTCCTTGAGCAGAGAGATTGACCCTACTTTGGATATGAAACTTAGATCGTTTTCACTCTGCTAGTATTAATAGCTAATTTTGTCAATATTTAAGTGGATTTCCAGGGATGTCTGGATGTACTTGTATTTTTATATAACAGTATTGCTCCAATTGAAAATTTTTGCCATTCCCATAATTATCAACGCCTTACCTAACAAAGATTTTAAGTATATTTTTCTACAAAAAGATTTCACCTATAACATTAGAATTTAGATGGATTGATATGATATTAGGAAGCTTGTCATAATGGTTCAAAAAGCTTTTATTTATCATTAAAATCTACATTTCTCTTTTTTAACCCAGAGAAATTTTCTGTTTCATCAAGCAATGAAAAGCCCTAACAAAATTGAGGCATAGTCCTTAATCATCTTTCACATTGGCATCTAAATTTTAAAATATTGATTTCCAGATATTACTATTCTACACTGTAATAGCAATAAAAATGAAGCAGTTGTATCCTTCATTGACTTGTCTAAAATACCAGGGAAACATTGCAATATTTAAAATGAATTATTGAACCAAGTCATCAGAGCTCAAAGAAGCATATTAACTTATTAGGAAATATCAGTACCTTTGCGATTTGGAAGAAAACCAGCACTTTCAGCTGAAACTGGAATAACAGAGAAATCAACATTGCCACCCTTAAGGTTTTCTTGTTCAACATTGATCTTAAGAGAAGCAGCCTTAACAGCTTCAGATTCAGCCAATCTTGCATAAGCAGTAGCTTGGCTGTGCAACATAGTTGAACCCAGAGATGTGGAACTATAATCCTGAGACAACTACAAACAATATAAGATATTGCCAAATAAACTTGCTCTAATATGTGAGGGTCAACAGTGATAAGATTCAAAACCTTCACCCTTGTGTCAATAGCAGCAATTAAGTTCTCCTCATGTTTCTTGTGTGAAACACTGCCTAATAAGATAAAAAGAAAAGGGAAGGGATTTTCAGATAAATGTAAAGCATGTCAAGCTATGACTTAAATGTTTGGACTTAGAATACCTCCACTGGTGTCAGGTGTAGGCTCTAGAGGAGTTTCTGTCATTCTTCGAGTCAATGGACCAGGATTCATGAGGGATAAGCTTCGTATTTCATAACGAATTGCATCTAGTTGTGCCATTGTATCTTGCAGCTCTTTGTGGACCTAAAACGGATGGCTGACATAATATGAAGAACTCTCACATTGTTCTTGCTTTTGCAACATTCATTAGTTAAAATGTATTGACTAATATGAAAAAAAACCTAAAAAGTAAGAGAAAAACAAAACAATAAAATTTATGAAAATTTGTTGACATTCTTTGTTTGATACCGGGCTATACAATAAGAGATGGCTCTAAATCACTAACAATTCAAATATATCACTTCCATGAGGCACGTAAGCATGCTATAACTCTTGATACAAAATTAAGAATCAGCTTTAATATAATTTAAAAACAAAAAAGTTGCAATTTATTCAATTAATAGAAAATCATAGTCAAACTTGCACAATGAAGAATAGCCATCAAATTTAGCATCTGGATTTGGTTAACTGAAAAACAATTACCTGGCGTGCTTGAGTTTGCTGCATAACAGTATCAAATTGCCCACGAGCCAATTGAACATACCCAATTGCTCGGCCTGCCAATCTTCCAGCTACTCTGGCAATTAAAGGGAGATCCTTTGGGCCTAAAACACATCAAATAACAAGAAGAACAACAAACCCACGTCACTTTCATTACCAAAAATGCAATTCCAATAAAATCAGGAGTGAAGAGGATGTGAAACCCAAAGACAAATTTAATTGCTATGAATGTAAAACGCAGATATGTAGATGGATAGTGAGGTGCTACCAACGAGAGCGGCAGTGGCTCCAATCAAGAAAAAGAGCTCCCCGTAAGAAAGACCGAACATCTTTGGACTCTGGATTCCAAGCTAGTCATAAATTCCACAACACTGCAAGAATGAAGGGTCATTTGCTCATTTCACCGTTTTATTTTCAGCTTCAGCATTTTTTAGATGGTGTTACTGACTAATTAACCTTATGTTAGTCTGGTATTTAATTATACATGTTACATTAGAGCAAAATGACATTTATAACCAACCCCTACACAAATATACACATAGAACCCAATTAGTTATGGGCCCACCTTGTTGACCAAAGTTTGATCCTATGGGGAGACCAATGAGAAGCTAATTTGTCATGAATTACCTAGTCACAACGTGGATGGCTTAGGGAGGGCAACAGGTCCCCACAAGGTCAGGGACCCACCCCCTTGGCAGGGATGGGGACACAAAGGGCATTTTTTGCCCGTCAAAAATCTCCAAGCCCTCTGTCCCCACGGTATGGGGAATTCTCATTAAAGTAAACTAAATGTTTTGATTTGGAATTTAAATGGGTAAGGGGTCGGTTCTTGTGAACTAGACATTTTTCACATAAGAAGAAAATAAATAAATTTAATTTTATGAAGCCAATGCTGTACAAATTTAATAGAAAAAAGGAATAGAAGTAGAGAAATAGCATATCATAGACTAATAGAATTAAAACCCAACTATATCAAAGTAACATTGAAAAAAAAATCAAAGTGACAATAAGCTACAGAATCAAATACCACTAGCACCAAAACTTAAAATATCAACCCACGAGTTGAAAAGCTGACAACCCTAGAAAAACAAACATGCACACAATAAGCCATGAATAGTGAATCAAACAACAATACTAAAATGTTATCCAAAAATATATCCACACAAAAAAATAAAAAAAAGGGACAGCCAAATTCAATTTTGACCTACTACAGAAATCTCAGCAAAATCCATCAAAACTGATCCAGTTAAGATTCTACCTTAACTATCGCAATGTAGCATTTTGGAGACAAAATGATATACATTTCAAATCTAGATAGCAGAGCATATCCAAAAACTAGAAATAATCACACTTTCAGAAAAATGTTACAAGTGGTACTTTCAGAAAAATATAAACAAGTCATATTCATACTAACCCTTTATTTCATAAAATATATATACAAGTCATAAAAAATTCATATTTTCATCAAAACATGACAAAAATCATTTATAAACTTTCAATTTTAAAGGTTCTCTCCATCATTTCAAAAATTTTAGAAAAGGGAAGTGCTATTGTCACGCCCCAGAACCTAAATCCCGAGGCGAAACAGACACCGTACACTTGTGAGAGGAACTCACAAATGCACAAGGCTCGGAACTTACTAAATTCATAACTGACAATCCACATAAACTTAGATCAATAACTCAAAATCTACTCTAATACCATAACATCTCAAAGTAAAATCTAGCTTATAAATGAATGATCTATATTTCAAAAAAATCTATGCCCAAAATACAAGTACCTAGCTTCCTAGCTCGTCACTCCCCTTGATTTCCCGCGTCTCGAGTCACACTACTTGAAATAGTGGACAAGGAAAAAACTAGTGAGACAACTCAGTAAGTAAAATATGGATAACCCTTATCTAATGTATAAAGCACGCCAACAAGTGTAATCAAGTATCAAGAAAAATGGGTTCAAGTACGGGAATGAAATAGACATCTCCTCTACGTCTCTATAGGTCATGGCTAGCGTTTATAAACCTCCCACTGGCAGGCACAAGATTTGCTAGTGTATAATCCCACTAGCAGGATAACAATATAACATGAACCGGTTCCACAATTAACATGTCGACATGTGCTAGCGTTTATAAACCTCCCACTAGCGGGCATAGTAAAACATGACCATATTGGAGACAAAACCAGGCAGGATTTAACAGGAAAATCATAATTTACAAATAATTTCCAGATCACCAAGGCAGTCAAGTAAACTCCAAGTTGGCATGCTCAACTCAATGAAAATGATAATAATTTCATTTCAAACCAATCATGCTCGTGTTTGTGTAAAATGGGTTTAGTCCCGCCACCATTTCAAAAACCATCAGAAATATGCTTTCAAAAACCTTTACCTCAAACCCAAAGGCATTACCATACTTTTACTCACCTCTTCTTGTAGGCTTACAACAGCAAGTATTCAAGGTTTCAAGGAGATGGTGGTGACTTAGAACCTATGCCACATTGAGGAACAAACAAGATTACACTGTGCCCCATTTAGTTAAATTGGCTTCTAATTCCAAAAATCAAGTTTCTATCCAACCCTTACTATTTCTACCCTTTTGAAATCTTTTGAAATCTTATTAACATATAAATATGTTTAACCACACTTAGAGTGTGCTTAAAACAACTCTCATTGTCACACGCAACAGCAGCATTTATGGCCAAAACAGCAGCTATTTATGGGTAAAAACAGCAGAAATTTCTAGCAAGAACAGCAGAATTTTTCTAGACAAAACAGCAACTATTTATGGTTTAAAACAGCAGAAATTTCTGACAAGAACAGCAGAATTCTTCTAGGCAAAACAGCAGCAAAATAGCAGCATTTTCTGGGTAAAAACAGCAAAATTTTATGACAAAAACAGCAGGGGAAAATGCAGGAAAATATAGAATTTTCTGGTTTAAAACAATGCAGAAAACAGCAAGGCAAATGCAGAAAAATGCAGAATTTTTCTGGGTTAAACAGTGCAGAAAAACAGCAAGGGGAAATGCAGCAAAATGCAGAATTTTTCTGGGTTAAACAGTGCA